ATATGTGGAAAGAGTCATCCACTGAGTCTACAACCACACTTGGGTGTTTAAGCTTCACAATGCATCACTTTTGCCACGTTTACAACTGGTGTTCACACTTCAGCTCCTGAAACGTACTTGGCAATTCCAAATTAAAAAAACAATGAAGCCTAGAACCAGGTATGGACAGGCCTATGACACAGGAGTCATTTCCTGATCCTCAGGATGCTCTGACTATGAACAACTATGAATGAACTACATGACGATGCCTGAGAGAACACACACACACACACAGGCACAGTTATCACAACGTATTATCCTATGATTCATCACACCTCTATCGCATTGTCTTGGATGATGAATTTCTAGTTTTTTTTGGTATTGCTGTTCCTTGTTTTTCGTCTTTTCTGCAATGAAGCAACCAACAACCAACCTGCTTGTTGTTTCAGTGTGTGTGAAAGGTCATGTGTGTATGTTATGTGTTAGTATGGATGGAGATTATTTCTAAGGTGCTAACCACTTTCGACTTATTACTTTTACTGGCTGATCCTTACAGACAGCAGTGTATCTCATTCCCTTGTGGTAGCTTTGTTGTAGTCATAGCTGCATTTTACTTTTGTGAAGCGGCCTTACAGATTTCCTTTTTCTTTCTGACTGACAAGGGTACAACAGGTCAGTTAAATTAAAACATGTTAAATAAGGACATTCTTTTCAGGGTCTTTTACAAGGTGGCCAAATTGCTCGCTGAGTGGAGTGTAAAGTGTCCACTAAAATTCTTAATTGAAGAAACACACTGCTCGTGCATCTGCAGATTGTAGAGTTAGTCTGGGCAGAGGTCGCGTTGCGGTTGAGACAGTGAGCACTTGTCCCTCTGAGCTCATACTCTTCAGATCTTTCATCAGACCTGACAGTCAGAGTATTTGGCCATCAGGGCTACAAGGCCGTGCTTTCTTCTGAACTACGGTTTTTCATTCTATATGGGATGCTTCCTGTCAGTTTGGCTGCAGGGAAAAAGTTCCTTAACTCAAATGTCAAGGATAAAAAACTCAACCAAGGTCACGACAGATGAATATATAACTTTGACCACTTTTATTCCTAACCTGTCTACACTGAATATGACACAAGATTCTCCTTTNTACCTTTTTAGACTTTTTGTAATTTTGATTTTGCACGGAGGCTTAGTTTTAGGTTTTTGTCTTTATTATTTTTAGTCAATATTCTTTGTATTTAAATGTCTTCTTTTTAATACATCTTCTCATTCTCAGGAGGAAAGAGGAGAGGAGGGGGAGATCAGAGAGAGAGAGAGAGAGGGAGAGAGAGAGAGAGAGAGAGAGAGAGAGAGAGAGAGAGAGAGAGAGAGAGAGAGAGAGAGAGAGAGAAATAAAGAATACTGTACTTTTTATTCAAAGAGCAAGTTTTTACAGACTGTGAGGCAAGAAGAGAGATGTGGGGAGAAGTGCTGTGTGATGTGAAAGAGAGAGGTGTAATAAAACAACACATTAGTTTCTGCAGTTTGGTGATGCACAGCTACAGCAGCAGAAACTGCCTTGAGTTCAGCTTGTGCAGTAATTTGTTTTTAAATGTGTTTCAAAAGTCACACTGCTCTGTCATGGTCTGTATTTATATTGTACTTTTCTAGTCTCGATGGCCTCTAGTTTACTGTATGAGTTTTTTTATTTCTTCATTAGTTGTTTGCCATTCACACACATTCATACAATGCATCTGGGCAGCACCCAAATATTTCTATTTGGGGTTCAGTTCAGCATGTGGAATGGGGAAAACTTGGCTCCAACCGCCGACCTTCTGGTTAGAGGACGACCCACTCTACCCCCCGAGCCCCTACATCTGAGCATATTCATGATACATATGTTTTCAGATTGTTAAATGTTTAGAAATCTTCTGATGCAGAAGTCATGGATACTTATTTTTGTAACATCGAAGTTTTGCAATGATAGTTCATTACATCCAAAAGAGTAGTTGCTAATCGCTAATTTAACACATTAGAATGGTGCCAACTTTTTGGGGGATGGGGGCAGTTCTGGTAATTGAAAATATATTAAAATAATCAATGCAGGGTGTGAATAGTTTGAGTGGCCCTGTACTATTTAGCGTTCAGAGCATTCACTGTATCTCAATGTGCACTGACATATTGTACATGACTGGTATTTAACAAGTAACATTATTACATGGGTAACATGCCTCTGGCTGTAATATACTGGTGGTCAAAGTAGTATGTTCCACTGCATAACACTTGCTAACAGCATGTATGTGACAAAATGTAGCATATCATGAAGGGGCATACCACTCGTTAACATGGTAAGAATCAGTAGGGCCAACTGAATACTGCACTGCTGCAGCTGTCAATGTCGGGAATGAAATGTAATGCAATTTTATCATTGGCTTATCGTCGGCCAGTCACATTTTATATTACAGAATTATTTCAGATAGATGTGGGGTGTGGAAACTCTTTATGTGTATCTACAGTAGAGGTTTGCTTGAGCAACCAAACACTGAAAATAGTCCCAGAGTTAATATGCGGAAGAGACTCTGCTGGACTTCACCCCGTGGTGTCATTAGCATACAGCAACCGCTGTCGCTGCACAGTTTGGCAGTGTGTGGCTCTGCTGACACTGTGGTTTTCAAGTGTGTCACCCACAGATGCTGTGAAACACAAAAACTCTCTACACTGACTCAACGTGTCTATATTATTGTAATCCTTTGAGATGTACAGAAATGATCCGTGTTCAATCAGTTCTCAGCTTCAGTAAAAAGTACCACATGCTGAGGCCAAAGAACAAAAGGCTGTTCTATACAGGCAAAGACTCCTGCTGGCCGAATTATTAAAGGAGGCTGGGGTGAAGCATTTTATTTCAGCCCTGCCAGACGGGACGATCGTGACTTGATCCACTTCTCACTGAGGATCGTACCGAAATTGTCAACAGTTTTGAATCTGATCAGTAGGGAACCCGGCCTGGTATTCTCTCTGAGCTTCTCTCACTCCCTCCATTATCCCTCCTCCACCCTGCTGGGTGCTGTCACAACGCCCAGGACCGTGGCCCGTTAGGACTCTCTGTGCTCAGGCTGACGAAAACAACAGACTTTATCCAGTAGGCAGAGAGTAAAATCTGACCAGCAACATATGTTAGCTGTAAGCCCGAGGCATAGACCTACCTGAGCAGATCGGTCACATGGAGAGAAAGAGGGACTAAGGTGATGCTGGTGGTGTAATCAAGAGAATAGTGGAGACGGGAATCAAACATGTCTGTATCCTGTGTTTCCTCACAGTTCTTTATATTGTGCATTGATTCACTGGCAGAGAGGCAAAGCTAAAGCGTGAGTGAAAGACAGAGGTGGCAGTCTATCTCTGGTCAGCTCCTGTGCCACAGGCCGATTCTCTGCTCCCCCGTGGTGCAGTAACTGGATTAAAGTCTGCTCGTTCACCTGACCTCATGGGTTCAAATACTCTACAGCAGCCAAGAAGTGCTTGTTAGATCAGCTGCCTTGACTCACCTTTTGGAGATCCGTCAGAGTAATCAGAGTAATGTGTCAACATGATGAATGCCACTTTGATTGGTATTCAATCTGAGCAAACATGCACGAGGACGGCAAATTAGCACAATTAACACCCCGATAATACCAAACAAGGCTACTCACTAGTGCGCGCTAGTGTTCATTCATGAAAATATAATATCAATATCAATTTCGAAGAGTAAAAAGAATAATTTTTCAAGTTTACAAATTGAAGTCAAATTGATTTATGAGATCTAGGAAAGCAGAGGTATTATAAAATTTGAATCGACTGTTTAAGCCCCTTGCCAAGAAGGAGGTATATTCCTCTGCTTGTTGTAGACTGTAGTGCACAGCATTGTGTACCTTGCACCTCACCTCTTATATAATCCTTATCTTCTTCATTAACAACCGGGAGTTACATGGGTTTTGTCATAAATGTGTGATTCCATCCAAAGGTTCATCCAAGATCCCAAGATCAACCTGCCCCAGCCGGGACACTTAACCAATCATCTCCCTTCCTGATTTCACATTAACCCCTGTATCAATGTACAAGCCAGGTTGTGAGTGTGTGTGCCTTGAGTCAGTGCTGAGGTTGCAGTAGCTGATCGTCATGGTCACTCGGCAGAGAATCATTTACAGATGTGCCACAGATAGCAGAGGATGTTGGACAGATAGCTGATGTTTTATCAGGTGATGGAAGTGCAGCAGAGGAAGGGGGGGGGGGGGGCATTTTATCAGGGCCTCCACTGTTACTGCACATGTTAGCTGTAAAAAGGTTTACAGGCCATTTTTTTACATAGATATGAAGGTCAATTTCTGCTCGGTAATGAAAAAAGACTAAATACTGTTAAAGGTTCAGTGTGTAGAATTTAGTGATATTGAGTGTTGAAGTTGCATGTTGAGGCTGAACACCCCTCCCCTCACCCTCTCCTTCCAAACATGAAAAAGAAACTGAAAAAATCATGAGGATTATTCTGCATTACATTTCTGCAAATAGATCTCTTTTACCTAAATCTTACACACTGAACTTTTAAGATTTAGTCATAGTTTTGACCAAGGGTCAACATTCTGAGTGAGGAGCATGAAAGTTTACATCAGGCTAAGAATAAATAACAAGGAGTGGTAGTAATACATTACTTTTTCAAGTCACATCCACAGTATATGGCTGAAAAGAATGGTGTTTTTCACTGGCCAATGTGCAATAAAGAGGACATGGCAGCATAAAACACAATTTATGAAACATTAAAAAACACAACAAAAATGTAAACACAGCACAGAGCTATAAGGGTTTAAAGGGTACATGTAGTGGTTAATTATTAGTATATTACTATAATATGATTACAAATCAAAAATACAACTGTCAAAATTATGGGACGGCAATTCAAATACTTTTTATCATGTGGGTGTTTTTCCTCAAGCCTCTCAGTTTGAGAGCAGGACCTGATCTCACATTCAGATTTTGTAATTCTCTCATTGTGTTTGTTTGTGTGTGTGTGTGTGTTGGTGTGCAGGATGAGAAAAGTGAGCTGCGGCCTCGTCTCTGCCACATGAAGAAGGCAGCTAACGGCTACGGCTTCAACCTGCACAGTGAGAAGACTAAACCGGGCCAGTTCATCAGAGCTGTGGACAAAGACTCCCCAGCGGAAAGTGCCGGACTCAGACCACGGGACAAGATCATCCAGGTACACAACACACAGGCTCCCTCACTACTGTGTGTGTGTGGGATTTCTTATGTTTATTTGTGTGTCAGCTGTAATCCTGTGACAGCAGGGGGAAACTGCAGTGTTAGGAGACACAGAGTGTACATTAGTGAAATGTGCGTATGTTTCTATGTGTGTGTCTTGTCCGTAAAGAGGGATTTCTGGTGTGTGTCTCATGCGCATTGCATGTTTCTCCCTTTATGTGTGATTGTGTGTGATGACCAGTGTTCACACCACGGTGAACCAAGACATCAAGCGATGAGGAGTAGAAGGGTAACTCTAAAACCAACATCGTGGTGTTTGTTAGTGAGGTGGAGGAGAAGAATCACAGGATGGTTGGTGGTCACAGCAGTGATGTCATCGATAAAGAAAACACACTGATACTATAGAGTACTAAAGAAACAACAGTGCCTGAAATAAAAACAAATCTAATTCAAAGGTGGAGGCAAAACAAAAAACTGCTTCATACTGTCAGAATGTGAGGGAACTTGTTGTCTTGTTCTGAGACAATTGTGATGTCCGCCATCTATAAAATTAAACAGAATTCTATATTTAAAATGATTAAAAGAAGTTCTATAGAAAGATAAATATTATACAGTGCTAATCATACCACACACAGACCTGTCGGCTAATGAACCAGAGTGGTAAGTACTTGTGGTACTGGGATGGTTCGGTTCCGTCGGGTGGGTCTGCGTAATACTGGACTTAGTTCAGCACAAATATTCAAGATCACAGATTTATAGAATCTATATCAGCTGATTAGTCATCATCATCATCATCATGGGACAAAAACTCTTTGTGATTCTCTGAACACTTGTTTCTTCCTCATCCTTCCATTGGCACACTCCTCTATCAGTGCCAGGGCATCCATCACGCAGCATGACACCACATCAGTGGATCCTAACCTTCACTCGGGATGTTATTTGGAAATAGAAGTTGGAAAGTGAATAGTTTTTCTTTATTTTTTGGGAGTCATCTCCAGTGTGCTCGTTGCACCTGATGGCACAGTCACGTTCCCTGCAGCGAATTCACACACACTCTTACTTGATGCTACACTCACAGTGTTAGAAGATATTAGAAACTATTAATGACTCAACAACTCAGCTGTTTAATGGTTTCATGTGATTTACTGTAAGTTGTTTTACATCTTTTTCAATTGAAGGTTTGTATGGAACAGTTTAGCACAAACAACGCTGATGGTTTTAATTTTAATGATGAAGTGGATCAATAATCTGCTTCAGTTCACCTCCTCATGTCTGTATCGTCATTTTCCCGTCTCCAAAATGTTCGTACTCATGGGTCAGAGTTAGCATGGAAGTCCGCACATTCTCTCGTCAATTTTGTTTTTGTATGTACGCAACGGTTATAAACGAGGCCCCAGGTCTTTTGGCCACGTTGAACAGGCTCAGAGTTAATCCACTTACTGGTTTCTGGGGGAGCCGAATTACAGTCTGCAGGACCTCTCACGTGCGGGAGAGAAGCAACAATACGAGAACCGGACGTGTACAGTTGTGGTATAATCCTGCATGTGCGCAATATTCTCATTGACAGGCAGTAAACGGAACGTGGTGGGGGTTTAAGAGGTGGATTTGGGGAAACAGAATCCTGAGAATGTGATGAATTCTTTGCAGAGGTCATGGGTCACTTGAGATGAACACGTTCTGTACCAGCGTGGGAGCTGGTGAGACTGAGACGTTCCTGACAGTATTCCAACCTCAGCTCTTCCTCCCACTGGAATTCCTTAGTCATTCATCTCCCTGGATGCTTGACTAGTTCCAACACTGGGAGTATGCTTGCACGCCACGCCCTGCAGTAACCGTACCAGACATTTGCCAGCACTGGTTTGGGGAACCATTATATATTATATCTTTACTTTGAAATATCAGGATGAATCACCTGCTTCGCCCTTCTCTTCTTTGTGGGAGTGAGGATCATCATATTATTTATGATCTATGTTCCAAGAAACTGGAATGTCTCCACCAGTGAAAGCAGACGTCCCTGTCCTCATTTTGAAGGAATGAGTAAAATGGAAGATATTAGACTGCTTTGATATTATAGAAATACAGTTCAGGGCCTGAAACGTACACATTTTTATTGCAAAAGTAATAAAGATCTTTATTCACACATGAAGACATTTGGACACAGCAGAATGTTTCATTAAATTCTGGTGTTGGAGGCCTCGTTCAGACTCCTTCTGGCCAGAACAACTATACAGATGTGTCCATTGTCAGTGTGTGTGAGTGAGCTGTGTCAGTGTCAGTGTGTGTTATTACAAATAAATACGTATTCTCATTTGGAAAGAATCAATATGTGACAATCAGTGTTAATATTCTTGTGGTGGCCACGAATAGATCATCAGATAAAGACATGTGATCTCAGCAGCTGGTATAATCCCATGAGCATATATTTTATGAAAGATCACAGGGACCTTATATGAATCTGGAAATAAATATTATGTAGATGGAAACTGCACTGGTTGGCAGAGGATTACAATCATAGCATTTGTAGTTACTGCTATGTTGAGATTAACATCTCCTCCTCTCCTCCTCTCCTCCTCTCCTCCTCTCCTCCTCTCCTCAGGTTAATGGAGTGTCTGTAGTCGGAATGCAGCACTCAGAGGTGGTCGGAGCCATCAAGGCCGGAGGAGAGCAGACCCAGCTGCTGGTGGTCGATGCTGAGACTGAAGCGTTCTTCAACAGATGCAATGTTCTGCCCACTGAGGAACACCTCACTGGTAACACACACACACACAGAGACACACACAGAGACACACACATGTTTTTGCGAGAGACTTTGGATAAAGAGAGGCCTTTATGTTTTCTTTCCCCACTGTAGGACCTCTACCAGAGCCAGTGTCAGACAGAGCAGCATCAGGGGATGAAGAGGTGAGGGTCACTACACACACACACACACACACACACACACACATGCTTTCTGACAGATAGTAGCCTGGAAATGCCCTGCTGATTCTCTGGACATTCCTGGTAGCAGATTAGGACTTCTGGTCAGTGTTGTGTGCAGCTGTCTTCACGTGCTCTGTCAGGTCTGTCAGGTCTGGCCTGTAAAACTCTGCCACACAGATACTGATACTGTTTATTCAGTACGTCTGCCACTGTTTTGATTTACCGTAGAAATGCATCATGTATTTTGATTTGCCAAAGGGGCTGAATTTCTTTTTCATTATGAGTGCGTGCGATTTGGTGCAGCGTTGACTTTAAGATACTGTTGGGCCTTGGCATAGGTGCACGCTCTACTACTCCTGCTGTTACTGTTATTGCTGTATTCATTCGCCGTTGTTTTGGTCATAATAGATCCACACCTTTGCTACCTGGGATTTTGGAGTGTCAATACAACCCACGCACAACCGTTTATACTTCAAATAAACTCTTTCAAAGTACTCACGCTGGTACCCATTTGTTGGAATGGATATAATGACAATGCATTCAGAAAACATACCACCACCCTTCTCCCCAGTAACCAAGTGAATAGAATGATAAATAATTAGGTCGATGTTTTAATATCAATCTTGTCATTTTTTATCTTCTTACTTTGGCTGTCTTTTTTAAATTGTCCTGCGGTCCACTAGAGGTGACATGCTGTAAAATAAACAACACAATTCATTTGTATGATATTTTTAACCCTAAATAAAAACACCTTTTTCCTTTATTCCCAGTAAGATGTAGCACATTTCATACATAAAGGCAGTTCAAAGTAGTTTACAAAGTGCATTTCAAAGAATAAAAAAAAGATACTACATAAAACAGTGGAATACAGGATAAAGGATTTAAATACTTTGAAACGATCCAAAAAGATAAAAGTAAATAAATACTTACTAACACAGTTTCCACAAGATTAAGGTTTGAGACGATCATATGGTAAACGTCAGTCACAGTGGAAGTGCTCCTGAAGCACTCAGAGTTTTAAAGACAGATTCTGTGACACTCTGGTGCCTGAGAAAAATCTACATGGAGAAAAATAATCCTCATCAACACAGCATCCTTCCGTGTTTTCATATATCTCTATCTATTTATACATCTCTATATTATCTTATACCAAACGAAGCTGTATCACATGCAGCCAGATAATAATGGTGGTTTAGACTGACACTTTGATTAATGTGGGCGAGTTCGGAAGAGAGCAGTTCAATGTGACGCAGCACAGGCGGTTGTACCCTGTTGTTAAATCCATAGACTCCATCCACACTGCTTTTAGTTTCAAAATGCATCACAGAGTTTTTGAGCGCTTCAAACAAAGAGCTGTGGAATCGCTGTTCGCCCCCCGACTCAGGTTCTGGGGCTGTATAGTCGGGCAGAAACTGCTGTCACCTACATTAGCTTCCTGATTCTGAGCAGTCATAACTCAACCACCAGCGATGAATGTAATGTTGCTACCACTTCCTGTCAGTAGCAGCTCCACATTGTCGCTGTGGGTCCAAGAAAAGAAATCCCAGCTCTTACTTTTCACTATTATTGTTCCTTGTTTGTAGTATTTCCTGTAACTAAGCAACCAACTGCAGAGTAGCCAGTCTGCTTCCTGTTTACACCGCACACCCAGTGTATTCGAACGGTCAGGCGATCCATGTTTTCAGGCGTACGGATGGTATTTTAGTTTTGAAACTGCATTTTAATACAAAAACCTTTTCGCATGGATGTGCAGTGCATACGACATTTCCCATAGTGCTACTTTCAGTTAGCTCGATTCTTGTTGCCTTGTAAGTACCTATGTGCCTCAGTTATCACACATGTAAACTTTGTAGCTGCGAGTAACCAGCACTGATGACATCATGATGATTTGACTAAAGTCGACAAAAGGCGTGTGAAGCCACGGGAGACGTGGCGAGACGTGTTTCTAGATCCTGAGCTGTCTCCGTGATCTCGATGTGTGAAATCAGTGAAGACCCCTTTAATTAGCAGACAGTGTGGTGTGACGTTCCACAGGCACAGCACGGTGAGTTTATCAAAAGTAAACACTCTGCTCACCCACCCCTCCCTCCCTCACCTCTCCACACACACACACAGACAGTGACAACATGGGAAAAGTGGATTGGCCCCTGTGGTGACATTGTGGCTGACCCTTCACCATGGCAACGAGAGCTCAGCTCTGTGCGGTTCCCTCCCTCTCCCTCTCTTTCGCCTGGGTCCTGGAGGATCATGGGATTGAAGTGGCTTTAACTCTGGAGGCGAGTTGGGGATTATGCAAATGAGACAACTAATGAGCGCTGTTCACATACTCGCACATGCAGCCAGAATCTTACTCCGCCACAGCAGGGACAATCACTCATTCACCAGCAATTACATAACGCAGCGCTCGGCATAAACGCCACCTCTGACCTGAGATGTGTGTGTGTGTGTGTGCGCTCACTGTGTTTCATCAGTTGCCAAAATAAGCAGATGGGACTGGTTGTTCCCTATGCCCAGAAGAAACAGCTATTACATGTTATTAATTGATGGAGCTCGACTGATGAAACTTCCCAAACGACCTCACTTCTCTTCTCTCAAACTGTCACTTCACAATCCAGTAACTTCATCACCTCAGATCTCCGCTCACTCGCACTAATGTCGGCAGAGCTGTTTAAATAGAATGAGCTCAATGCCACATGGTCCCCGTGGTGATATTACACTTTTGCTCTCTGATGTTTTTCATGATTCTCTAATCGTAATTGTTCTGATTAAGTCCCTGCTTTTATTAATTAACCTGTCGTTGCGTTGTTTTTATTTGCTGATATTGAAAGTCTCCTGTACTCTGGTCTCTCTTGATAAAGAGATCAAAACGTCTTAGATAAAGATTAAATAATATAATATAAAAATATAGCAGATTCAATATAATATCAACACTTGGTGCTGCCGCTGTGCTCTTGTTTATGAGTTTCCTTTTTCGAAGAGCAGCTGCTTCTTCATTCATACATCAAGTGAATCAAGTGTACGCAGACATGAGCAGGAAAGTGTTTATAATACGTCAACGTGTTTTCTATCCTGCTCACAGATTAGTGCTGACACAGTCTCAGCTTTAATAAGTGAGCTGCACACGTCAGGCCTCCTGACAGCCCAGGCTCTACTGACCTCTGCTGGACAGCAGGAGGCAGTGAACTGCACAGCATTAGGTCACAAATGAGGCCATGCATGTTTGATTCAATGCAGTTGAAATTGTAGATAGTAGTAAAAGCCAAAAATGGCTGCAGTATGACACCTCCCCTCTATTGAGTCATTTGTCCGCTACATGAGAGGAAACATATCAAGCCAATCATGTGACAAAAGTGTGGGGGGGGGGGGCGTAGATTGGGGTCTGGTCTTGTTTCCCTAAAGAACAAGGGGACGTTGCTGAATTGGTTTGCGAGTGTTAATCAGATCAGTGTTATCTGTTAAATAATTTTGATTTAGCAATTTAAATTCAAACTACTTTTTTAGTGTCTACCAAAACTTTGCCCACATATAAAGGATGATGTGGTGAATGGATTGTATTTATACTATAAAGTATATTACATAGATGACCCGCTTTACCTCCTGAACCACAGCTGCCTTATTGATATTTCAGTTCTGCTACCAGTAATACCCAGTGTTTTTAAAGATGTACGTTCTCAGTCTGGGAGACAACGGGGCAGGGAGTAGTAAAGTCAGAAATCAACTAACACGTTGCTGGTTTTGTCTTTTGTCTGGAAATAATGTATATAACAGATTTATATTCGAATCTCATCCACACATATGAACACAGTGTCTGTCGTGTGTTGAAACAGGCGGTGACCAGGCCTCACGCGCAGGTGAGCCCGACAGCTTCCAGTGCCTCCTCCGAAACCTCCCTGTCAGCAGCGACCAACAGCTCCCCACCTCCAGAGGTACAGAGCGACGCCTCGTGTGACCTTTTGTTTCTCTTTGGCAAATTGTTTTTGAATATATCCAATATTATTGGGATTGATTTAAACTATGAAATATAAATAAACTACAGCAGAAAGATAATGGCTAGACCTATCTCCAAAAGCATAGTGGAGGTCTGACTGTGAGACGAGGGCCAGAGTAACATTAGTAATGTTGACTAATTGTGTGTGTGTGTGTGTGTGTGTGTGTGTGTGTGTGCGTGTGTGTGTGCATGTGTGTGCGTGTGTGTGTGTGCGTGTGTGTGCGTGTGTGTCCAGGTTGAGAGAGCTCCAGAGCAGGGTGACAAGCTGGGTCAGATGTCATTGGCTCAGGCCAGAGAACAGGCCCATAAGAAACGAGCTGCCAAGAAAGCCCCGCCCATGGCCTGGAGCAAGAGGAACGAACTGTTCAGCAACTTGTAAACATCATCTTCATCATCATCATCGTCAGTTCAGTCTCCTCGTCCGTCGTGACTCCGCAGAGATAATCAGCCCGCCTTCTCTCTGGATTTTGCTTTTTTTTTTTTATCACACTGTGAATGAATGACAGTTTTTATTTAGAACATTTTAAACTCCCGTGTTGGAACAGTATTATTTGATGATTCTGTTGGTTTGATTGAGGCTTTTTTCCCCATTTGAAATGTCACTGTCACACACAGGAATGAATGTTAATATATTAAGAAGAATGTTGGAGAGCGAGAGAATAGTAATGTACAGTTTCTCTTTCTAAAAAAA